GAAAAGCACACTTTTAGTATTACTAGCTTATAAATAGACAACACTTTAAGCATTATAATAAAAAATTTTATATAAAAAAAAAAAAAAAACTATAAAAAGTAAAGTTTTATGTAAAAAGTAAAACTATTTTAGTAAAAAAGTAACTTATTAAGTTTAATAGTAAAAAAATTAAACTTACACATAACATAGTAGTTCTTACTTAGAAAAGATAAGTAAGCTACTTTTATATAATTAACTTAAAAGACAAGAATGCTGCATAATAATATGTTAAGTAATATGCAAAAAAGGTATATATTATATTTATATGTTAACTAGAGGCAGCATTTAACCTCTTTATTACTGCATAAACTATAGACTTTTTATATAATAACATTAACACACTTAACACATAAATTTAATAGTAAATAGATAATAGTAAGCGTAGTCTTACTTTTCTACTATTACAGCTTAATTATGTAAAGCTGTTTATTTTTATAAATAAATTATTTACTAATAATAAAGACCTTAGCTTACAGCTAGGATTTTTAATTATATTAGGTAATAAAGACTATATAGAGTAAAGTAACTACTTTAAAATACTAGGCAACATTATACACTAGAATTCTACTAAGTGTAAAAAAGTAACTAGAAGTGTCCTTACTAGTAAACTATATAAAATAGTTAAAAAGTTTAATAATATAATTACTTTTAGTATAACTTTATAGTAAATTATATAAACACTTAAACTACTACTAATTTTAGTAGTAATCTATATAGATTTAAGGTCTTTATATAATTACCTTATTAAGCTAGGCACTACTAGTAAAAAGTAACTTATAATTAACATTATGTTACTCTAGAAATTATATAAGAAAAAAGAAATTACTAAAATAAAGTAGATTAATAGTAAAGACAACTTAGTAAATGTATATATAAAAAAAACACTAAACTAGGCTCTTTAATTATTAGTCTTAACTAACTACCTCTCTGTCTAGATAGAAGCATCTGTGGACTAGCTAGATCCTATGCGCAAAGATGCCTTAGACTAACTAGACTAATAACACCTTTATATAAAGCCTATTTCTTTTTATTTTATTTTTTTTTGTATTATACATACTTATCTTTCTTATTATAAAGATCTGTCACTGCCAGCACTGTATAAAAAAAAAAAGAAAAGAAAAGAAAAAAAAGCTAGGGGATTATACAGTAGGGCTTAAAAAGTAAAAAATAAAGAAAAAAAGAGCTATTTACATAGCATAACTAGCCTATTCTAACACACAGCATTACTAAGGCAAGTCCTAACAAATAGGGGTAGAGTAAAGGCAGAATATAATTAGATAGACCTACACAAACAGAAAGAAGGTAACACGTATAAAAGGTAACTCTTTAGATAAAAAAAAAAGTTACTAGTGTCTATACACAGCAGCAGTATTATAGCCTAGATATAAGTAATTGCGCATAAGCAGGATCACGTATCTATGTTACATAATGCTTATGCGTAAACCTTTATGCGCAAACATTTAAATATCCCCTTTTTCTTTTATATAAAGGAAAAATAAGAGTAATAAAACTAGAAACATGTTGCTCTTACCTTACCTACTTTGTACGCTGTGCACACTGTACACCACTCTTACTCTTGCTACTTAAGTGCTTATACTATAAGCAGCTAGCTGTCAGAGCCTATTCAACATAAGTAGTAATTAAGTTTACATACACGTTAAAGTTGTTTAAGAGAGGTTCTTCTACTATAGCGCGTTACAGTTTAGTTAAGAGGCAGTTATATAAAGCTATAATTAAACTTATTTTATTTAGGCCTATATTAAATGTAAGTTAGCAGAACTTAGTAAAGTATAAAGTAAAGCTTTTTTTTTTATTATAAAGTGTTTAAGTAACTTAAGGCTATTAACTTTTTATTTAAGTTTTTATAAGTTACTTATAGAAACACTATAAATTAATTTAAGTTAATAATATCTTTATTTATTAGTAAGTTAATTAAGGCTGTTATGTTATAGTTAAGTTAAAAGTAAGCATATAGTAACTAAAAGTGTTTAGAAAAAAATTAGTCTATATTTTTTTTAAGTTTATATTAGAGCTTATATAAAAAGAAAAGTAAGTTTTTTTATTTTTTATTAAACAGCAGGGGATTAGAAAGTTAGTTAGATTTTATTACTAAGTTAGAAAAGTTACAAGTTGTAGGCAGCATTAGACAGGAGGGAGTTAAGCTATCTCTAGACTTCTAGGTAGGCTTTAAAGCTAGTAAGTTCTTAGTTCCTACTACTATAATAAAAGTTAAAGTAGAAATAGACTGCTTAATAATATAAAGCTATTTTTTAAAGTTTTTTTAAAAAGCTTTTAAGCTTGTAACATAGTAGCTTTCCTATAAAGTAAGCGCTTTTTAAAAAGCTTTTTAGCTTACTTTAATAGCTTAGAGTTATATAAGTACTAAGCTTATTAAATTAAATTTAGAGGCTATTCTTAGCTAAAGTTTTAACATAACATAATGTTATAATTATGCATAAGTAAGGTTATAAAGCTTTATAGAAGTCTAGTTTAATTACTATATAAAGTATTATAGTAAGTATAAAATGTTATGTAAGAAATAAGAAAGTTTAGAATAAAATTAGTAATTAAATACTTAGCTTAAAAGTCTAAGCGCTTTAAGTATAAATTAAGCCTATTTTAGGTTTAGTTAGTGTTAAGGCAGTTTATGCTTAAGTTTATGTCTGTGTTGTGTTGTGTTTATGTCAGACGTGCACTAATAATACTCTAGTACGCGTCTAATACAGTTATGTCTGGGATCTAGGGAGGATACTATAACAAGTGCTTAGCTTAATAGCTAACTAAGTATCTAAGCTAAGTAACTTTCTACCTATTAATTATAAAAGCTATGTTAGTAAGCACTAAGTCTACTTTATTTTTTATAAGTAACATAAAAACAACTAGCTACTAGCAGTTATTACTATTATTAACTACCTAGTTTCTCTATATACATAGAATATACTTTATATCTATCTTATAGTTAGGCTTTTTAGAAGGTAGGGATAATTACTACTAGAGCAATAGTTAACGCTTTTGCTTTACTACTAGTAGTAATAATAGAATCTTAGTAGCAGTTATTAAAGCTATAATGCGCTACTTATTTATATAGGTAACTTTTCTTTGTGTTAGCTTCTTTAGTCTACTAGCTCTCTAACTTTTAGAAAGTGCTTTAGAGGCTGCTACAGCAAGGGCTCTAGCTAACATTTAGCAGCTAGTACTAGTTCTTAAATGCGTAGCTGCTCTAGCTGTAGCCTTAGAGTAGAAAATGTTTACTAAGAGCTTTTTTAAACTACTAGAAATTAGGTTTATTATCTAATGTACTTTACAGGCAAGTTGCTTACATACCTAAGTTACTTACTTTTACTAAGACTCTACTAAACTACTTTTTTTATACTAATGCATTTCTAATAACACTACTTAGATGTGCTAAAAAATGTTAGATATAGCTTACACTTTAAGCTTTTAAATAAAATATAAAACTTTTAAAAAAACATACTATAGCTATGTATAAAGTTTTTTAAAAAATAATAAATAACTATAGCACTAGATAACCTTTATAAGCTAATTCTATAGCTAACTTATAAAGGCTAAGTAATAATAAAAAGTAAGTAATTATTAAGACTATACTTAAGCTATATACATAAAAATTTTTCTTTTAAATAGCATTTATAGCTAATATAGCTAATTTTTTACATGCTAAGTGTAATCTAGGCTATATTAGCATAAACTAGCCTAGTATGTTTATAAAGTGTTATTTAAAGCTTAAAGTAAAGTTTTAAGTATAAGTATAGTTAATAAATATTTAGCTTATAATAAAGCTTATTTTACTAAAGTTATACAGGTTATTATTTTAAATGCTATACTTAGCTTTAATATTCTTTATAAAGCTAAACTTACTTTAAATTACTTTAAAACTTTTATAAAAAGCTCTTTTATAGCTATACTATGCTTAAACATTACTTTAAGCTTTAAATAACACTTTCTAAATATACTAGGCTAGTTTATGCTAATATAGCCTAGATTACACTTAGCATGTAAAAAATTAGCTATATTAGCTATAAATGCTATTTAAAAGAAAAATTTTTATGTATATAGCTTAAGTATAGTTTTAATAATTACCTACTTTTTATTATTACTTAGCCTTTATAAGTTAGCTATAGAATTAGCTTATAAAGGTTATCTAGTGCTATAGTTATTTATTATCTTTTAAAAGACTTTATACATAGCTATAGCATGTTTTTTTAAAAGTTTTATGTTTTATTTAAAAGCTTAAAGTATAAGCTATATCTAATGTTTTTTTTAACATGTCTAAGTAGTGTTGTTAGAAATGCATTAGTGTAAAAAAAGTAGTCTAGTAGGGTCTTAAAAAAGTAAGCAACTTAGGTGTATAAGCAACTTGCCTGTGAAGTACGTTACTAACTAAAAAGCACATACATCTTTAAAATCTAACTAAAATAGTAGATATTTAGGCATATTTGCAGGCAAGTTATTGCTTTGTTAAAGTTCTTATATATTTAGTAAGGCGAAAAAGACGCGACGCGAATGCCAAGACATTTCACAGATCAACGCACACAATAGATCGGAGGTCGTCGGGTGGCGCAATGCCGACCCTCCGATGGTGCACATTTGGCGTTTTATCAACACCAATCTCCTATCAACAATAAGATGGCCGTGGTGGGAATACCCCATTCGGTGCACGCAGTGGTCCTAACGCGTTTGAATGCATATTGACGATGTGCAAGAGAGACAGATCTCGTCCGTAGTTCGTCCTAACCAGGAATTAATCTATTCGTCATAGATCTCTAACGAACGGACAAAACTTCGGCTCGAAACCTTACCGGCCACAAAACACCAAACTCTCATTTTACAAAATGGCTGCCTCTGGCCTTCAGATTTATAAGCCCCTCGCTATTCGGTCTCAATTCCACTTGGCATGTTGCCCAACTCTTTCATGTGAAGCTTCACAATTAACCTTTAAATAACTAAACGCCCACTGATGCCATGAAACTAACAATATTCATAACACCAGATCCTTGCCCTCAAACAATATTTAGAGCAAAATGGCCACTCCAATGAGCTGGGGGACTTACCTTCCCATGCTTCTCCGCTCTCAATTTCTCCGGAGCATCCCATACCCGACAACTTCCTTCGCAGGGCAAACTGTGATCGTAACTGGATCCAACACAGGGCTTGGTCTCGAGGCCGCGCGCCACATTGTTCGCCTAGGTGCTGCAAAAGTCATCCTTGCAGTACGCACGATCTCCAAAGGCGAAGCCGCCGCGGCCAATATCCTCAAATCCACCAATGCCACCAAGAACACGATTGAAGTTTGGCCACTCGATTTATCTCGCTCTAGTTCTATCAAGGAGTTTGCCGTGAAAGCAGCGAGACTAGACCGATTAGACGCGCTAGTTCAAAATGCTGGTATTCTAACGCAGAGATTTGGACTCGTAGAAGGAAACGAAGCACATATCGGCGTAAATGTTGTTGGGGCAGTAATGCTGGGCTTGCTGATTCTCCCAAAGCTGAAGGAAACATCGAAGAGATTTCATGTTAGGACCAGGCTTTCGTTCGTTGGATCCGATATGCAATATGTTGCCCAATTCAAAGAAGCACGGACAACAGGATCATTGTTCGACGCGTTGAATAGAGAGGAAGAGGCGAATATGGGAGATAGGTGAGCTACATGTCTCTAGGATCTATACTGTTGTCTCGAGCTTACGATCTGATGCAAAGGTATGCAACTTCGAAGCTTTTGCTTCTGTATGCTGTCCGGGAGATGGCTGCTCGAAGTCCGCCAACGCCAGGCTCGGATGTCATTATCAATTTCATGACACCGGGTGCATGCAAGAGCGATCTCTTTCGAGACGACCTATCCTGGGTTTTCTTTATGGTCCAAAGAATTATGATGGCAATTTTCGCCCGAACCACCGAGGTAGGCGGTCGGACCTTGACGGACGCCGTACGGCCAGATCTTAGCAATGAAGCCCATGGTGCATTTCTGATGGACTGCAGGGTGGTTCCGTAAGTGATTTTCGAATCATTCTAACATAAAACAAATCTAATCAACCATGTAGGAACGGTTCAAGCGTCGAGAGCGCCAAAGGACAGCTACTCCAGCAACGGTTCAACAAGGAGTTGTTTGCAAGGTTAGAAGCGATTTCACCTAGAGTGACAAAGATACTTAGTTAGGTGGTCGACGGACTCCACTTTGAAGGGTGGGTGGGCCATTCCAAATGCATGTCGTTTCTCTAGCTTATCGCAACTTGTCCTGCGTCATATTCCCCATAGCATACAACTCCCTCTGCGGCTGATTGCGACTCTAGATAATAGCGCCTTAGAATGGTTTACACCCTCGTGGGCAATATTCTCTTGTCTAGTCACTAAATCAAATTCAACCAGACACTATACAGCCTTGGTAATACTCAACATCGCCCACTCGCCTCGCGAGATGTCACTGCTCTTATCCGACTAACATCACATGGCCCTCCTCAAACTCTGGATGCCCGCGCGTTTGGTCTCGTTCGTGACGTCAATCCAGCCCCATAAGATGGCCTTCACACGAATCTTGTTCCGGTAACCGAGACAAACGGCTATTGATTGCGACACGCCTAGTATACTAGCGTCGGTCGCCGAGTATGTGTCATGGTCTACCTCGAATTGGCAGGCGCGGGTTAAGAAGACGATCATCATGTAGTCGAGTGGCCAGCCATCCTTGAGACTTGTGAGAAGAGTAACGAATGGTCAGCTACTAGGGATAGTGCGGTTAGTCCCACTGCAATCCGTCCATGCCATTCTTTGATCACACGGCCCTCGTCATTTCCATAGTTCTACTTCCATTCCATGTATGCGAGAGGGGAGACTTGGAAGTCTTGATGAGCCCGCCGACCTTCCCCTTAAAAAGCTGCCACTCAATGAAGACTATTGGTTGTACAATGTCTCTTGCATAGTCAGATTACGTTACACTCCACCGAAGTCATAGTGTTTCGGGAGATTCCAGGCTTACTTTTACTCTAAGACGTGGCCCGATTAGATTGTATTTGAGTCCAAGACGATGAAATTGAGTCCAGGGGAGGAAAAGTAGAGAAACAGCCCCCAGAAGATTGCTCGAGCCCGCCAACAACGATATTCGTAAGCCGTCTCAGTTCAGCCTTGTTCCCTCGATATGCTAGACTGCTAGCGATTTCAGTGCTAACTGCCACTCGTGGCAGAAATTCGTGGTGGGAAAGTCGATTGTCTTGAGAATGAAGGTACAGGGCCAATGGATTGAAGAAGTTGTACACAGCGTTCCACTTAGGTGTACTCGATCTAGACAGTAGTAGTGCCAGAGGAGTGTCTTCAATCGACACATACCCCTGCTAATAACTCTAGAGCACTAATGATTTGCTTTTTTTTCCCCGCACTACCACTTATACAAGGGTGAGCATCCTCAGGTTGTGATCAATAAAGAAATCCGAAGGGAGCGGTCGAACATCCGGCCCGCTCGGCGGGGAAACACCGAGTAAAGTCGAATGGGTAATTTGGCCAAATCCGACGCGCTCGTACACGTCTGGCTCCTCCTTCGAAACGGTGACGTAGATTCCGAGATGCATCGCTTTCCCAAAAGTGCCCACGGGTAGAAACCAGTAACGATCATCTGGCCGAAGCAGGCTAGGGAAGGGCTGGCCATTAGAAGATCCCGAAAGCGAGGCAGAATCTGAGAGGAATTGACGTCCACGAGAGTCGAATGCAATCCAGCCCGCGGTTTGGCTCATACTTCCCGCGCAGATCCTCCGAGCGTGGACAAAGTGTTGAAGTGGCGCTCGAGGAAGATCATGGGATTCCTCGGTGATAGGACCTTTTCGAGGAGGCCCAGGCCCAAGCTGAACCGCCTCACCCAAGTATAGCCCATGCAAGCTGATGAGTCTGCCTCGGACTCTGAGATAGCCAGGTCCGTTGAGCCAAGCAACTTCTTCCTTTCTCCTGGTATCGTGAGGGTTATGTAAGGAGATAAAAGTACATCTAGGATGGAGTTTAGACCATTTCACATTAGTTGGGTATTGAATACCACCATCCCAAGATGCCCAGGACCAAGATAGAGCGCGACTCGCTGATGGTGCCAATAAATCAGCATTCTTTGGAAGCCAGAGAAGGCCTTCGCAGATCCGGTCACTCCAAATGCCAGCGCACCAGCTACTTCCGGTCCGAGAATGTATCTTGCGTGCCATGCCTAGGATCGCGATTAACTTGTCCTTCTCCTTAGTCAATCCACAATGTGAATACATCTCAACAAGATCTAGCCACTCCAAAGGTGTGACATGCGACTGCTCTGTTATTAAACTCGCGTCTCCGATGCCCCCTAGGCCAAATGTTGCTCGGAGCTCAGGCGAAGCCAAAGGGCTGAAAAAGGTGGGTCGCGAGCTTCCGTGATACATTCTGCGTCGAGCGCTCGCCGCCTGTAGTAATCCACTAGATGGGCCGTCTTCGGAGAAGACTCCACTTGTAGTTTCGAAATAAATGCGGCCAGGGGTGAAGTGAAGCGTTCGTGTAGAGAGAAATCTCTCCTGGAGAACCCAACCTCTTCTCGACAATCGGCTATTAGTAACATCGAGTTCCAAATTTGGCGGTCGGCATATTCCGATGGGGTGCCCTTGGACCTGATGCTCTATGGCGGTTGGTGCTGCAAAAGCGTCCAGTAAGAACCCTTCCGAATCGTCTCTTGCGCAGTGAGCCGCTAATGTGACGGAAGCCGCTTTGAAAATATCTCCCATCTTCTCAGACTCCTTTTGCCAGTCCTCAAAGCTGTCTTGAATGATACACAAGGCATCGATCCATAAATATTGGAAGCCTAGTTGCTTCGTGAGGAATACAGCATCCTTGAACGTTTGAGGCAAGCGGTCAATCGGGATTCCATCTCTGAGCTGCTTCAAAGTGCGTAAGGTGGTTGTTAGATGGTGGGAAGAACCCCAGCGATGGCTTAACGCAACATATTCGAGGATGGCGCTAGCCACCCTAGATCCAGATGTCCAGTCATTTTTGGATGGGTCACTCTCAACGAGTCGAACTTTGCCCTCCCGTCCGAGATCCAGAAGCCGAGTGGGGCGGATTTCACTTGAGGTAGAGGGATAATTACCAATATCTGTTGACAGCCACTCGTGAAATAGCTCTAATTTTTTGTTACAGTCTAACCTCGGGTCGGTAGACAGAAGAGCTGGTGGTGGGTCATATCCCGTGCATGGTCCTGCTTGCCCGTAAGTGGTCAGGGGGTATTAGAATGAATCGGGTCTCAAGGACATACCAGGGCAGAGGAAAATAGCAAGTTCCTCTTCGACAAATCTTCTTTCGGCCGCCGATTTGGGAAGTGTATTGGTGCGATACTTGATATCAAATAGCACCGATAGACGACTGGAGGTAATAGACTGCTGTCTAGTTACTGGCGGGCTTCTTAAAGAAGCGCGTAGGATGACTGTGACATTGTCGCCAAATCTCTTCAATTCACCAATCGTCGTGCAACCGTATTCGTCTACGAGGTCTGTGCGGTTGAAAGATGGATCCCCATACGCCATTATCTACTCAAGTACCAGACCGTCACTCCCACGAAGAATTAAGAGCAACAAACGACATATAGGGCAAGCCCTCTCTAACGACTTGAGTGCGGATGCGATGCGAAAATTTCGAGAATATCCGGTGCCTTTTGTTCCACCGAGAGTGGTCGCAAGCATATTCTCACATGCATTGCACAAAGTCTGTTTGGAGGATTTATTCTTCCTTCTCATTCCACGCCTCGCTAAACTCGGTCGCGGTTCATCTAGATACCTTTGCAAGTCAGACCTTTCCGGTTGCAGAAAATGTGGTGGTTGTGTCGGGAGTTCGGCTTCTTCCTTAAGTTTTCGCGACTTGGTGGGCGGTTCTGCGTCTGACTGGCCAGTCTCTCCGTATGATCGCTTGGCATGCATAGAGGTGTCGCTCATGACGATTTTCTGCAGAGGTCAATAGTAGAGTGAATGTTGACAGCTGTTGAACGAAGAGCTGAGGTTCCGCCTGAGTCATATCGATAAGCGATGGAGCCTCGTATTGAGCAGGGGGCCTCCCTTGCCGGTAGACGACGGAAGCTACTCGACGATGGAACTGGTGAACTTTAGACGAATTCCAAAGCCCTGTTTGCAGAGTAAGTTCAATTATGAGGCTGCTAATGTCAAAGTCCATATCTAGAGACTAAACTTGATGACAAGGTGGAAGATCGTGCTAGACGGATAAGGTTTGGCGTCATCTACCATCATCATTTATGACCTACGAGGAGGGAAGAATATCAGGAAACAGGACAACTAGCAAGGGCAAAAGCTAGTGTTAAGTAATGAAAGATGAGAGGAGCTCCACGCGAAACATAATTGATGAAAACCGGCTGTTCAGTTTCAAAAGCTTCCCCATTTTGACGGCCCAACCTCAAGGCCCATTAAAATTTACTATAACGGTATCATGCGAAATAATTACATGAAAGGCGTTTCATGGTCCCAAATTTCCGACATAGCGTACAAATTCCTCCCCACAAGCGGGGCAATGCGGATTGATGACCGGGGCTTACAATCCCGAGTCAATCTGGTTCGGCGGATTACCCGCGGTGTAGGCATCCCACGCCGTGCAGCCATCAAAGATGTCCTGGTCGAAATCCTCAGCCTGAATATCTTCTGGGCGCTCGAGGGCATTCATGAAGAGGCCGCCAGATACGTGCCATGCAAGATGGCAGTGGAGCGGCCACACACCCGGGTTGTCTTGGTTGTATTGAAGGACCATGAAAGCAGGCACCGTCGCGCTCCGTGCGTTCTGAAGAATATGCGTGTCTCGGCGGACGGTATTTTCTGGGTTCACAATCGTACCATCCCAGTCTCCAAAACCTTCGGCAAGAACATGGTAGTCGTGGCCCTAGAAAACTGTTAATCAAGTGTTGCATGGTACATCTTTAAAAGGGACTTACGTGAAGATGCATGGGGTGAGCGCCGAGTCGACCATGATTAATCAGATGAAGACGGACTGTCTTGTTCGTACCGAAGTTGTGAACATTCCTAAATCAAGGTCGTCAACACTAAACTCGCTGATGAGAAGTTCCCATAGCACTTACCATTGAGGCTGGTAGTCCAAATCCCCGTTCTTGGCCTGGATCAAGATTGGGTTGTTGTAGTCCCCGCGGTAAGAGCTGTTGTTCATATACCAAATGAAGTTGGTACCGTTTGATCGCACTTCAATATCAATCTGTTCGGTGGTTGTGGGCTCGTCCAGAGGGATCTTGCAAAGGGGAACTGTCTGGTTGAGGGGATCGTTAGCGCAGAACGCAAGCTGCGCGGCGGTTACATCAGAGGTAGTCTCAGGAACAGACTCTTCATCAGTATCCTCATAATAGACAGCGGCAACGGCATTAGGAGAGATGCCGTCATTAAGGGTACAGCGTTCCGTGCCGAGCTGAGATCGCATCCAGAAAGCGTCGCCAGCATCACCAGTTGCCTCAACAATGACATCAGCACGCTGAGCAATGCCGAGGGTCACGACGTTTGTGGTGTACGGCTCGATCGGAATGAAGTCTTGAGCGACAACTGTCAAAGTGTGGTTGTCGATACTAAACTTCTGAGTACCTTCTGCTCCAGTGTTGATGAGACGGAGGAGGTGCTTCTTGCCAGACTGGAACCTGAACTTAGAAATACCGGCATTGGGATTGCATGGTAGTGTCGTGTTGGCACAAGGGTACTGCATCTTGCCGTTGATCAAATTGTTGTTCGACGGTGGGAAATTCCCAGCCATTGTGTTTTGCACTAGGGTGTAGTAGTCTGCATGGTACCAATCGGTCAAGAGAACCGGGCCAATATCGATGTCATACTCGGCATGCTTTGGGCCATGAATGATCATGGGGCCTTGGGCACCTCCAGAGTACTGGGCACTGTAGTGGCTGTGGTACCAGGAAGTTCCATAGCGGTCCGCACGGAAAAGCATATCCAACTTACCACCGTTAGGGGTGAGCGGACACTGAGCAACGGCCGGAACACCATCATACCAGGGGGTGGCTTGCTGGAAAAGACCGTGTGCGTGAAGAGCAGTACCTTCATTGGTCAAGTCGTTGGTAACTCGCAGCAGGATCCAATCACCCCAATTCGCCTCAACAAGAGGGCCAGGAAACTGTCCGTTAACCGTCAAAGCATTCCTCGTGACACCGTCCGGAGCAATTGTCTGATAGGCCACGTTAAAGTCATACGTTCTTGTTACACCAGTATCAGGCATAGTTGGGCAAGCTGGGGCCGGGGTGCTAGTGCTTTTGCTGCTATAGGACGTGGATGCAGTGACCTTCGTGGAATTGGTAGAGTACGAGACGGAACCAGAGCCAGTAGGATACGGCGCAGTTGGGTATGATTTGACGGAAGTAGGATACGACGAAGGCGGCGGAAGAGGAGGGTAGGACGGGGCCCCCGGCAGACCAGAAACTGGCAAATGGGGGCAATCGATGTCACCCCAATAGGACTTTCCATTTTGCTTTCCCTCTGGCAGGGAGCCCTTCAGTTTCCCATAGCCCTTCGGAATCCAGGCAGGAGCGTCGTACTTCCCCTTGGCCGGCCCTCCGTATGAGTATGGTTCAGTTGGCTGTGGGGGAGGGGTTACCTCACCACTAGAGGGCTTTCCGGGCCAGTAGTAAGGTAGAGGGATGTCGTTGTACGGGTTGTCGTATGGGCCACCATGCTCTTTAGGAGCCGATGTAGAGTAGCTGTTTACATGAACTGAAGTTCCCGTCGCGCATTGTCCATCGATATTACAAGGGCAGATGGTTAAGGTCTTGACGATGACAGCCGTGGTGTAGTTCTGCGGTACAGGGAGGTAGGAAGATGCGGTATAATAAGCGGCAGACGAGATTGTCGCCACCGAGGCAGCGTAAGGAGCGATGGCTACCATTATAAGCAGCGATTAAACGAGTGTAGGGACTCTCAAAAAAAATTCACCAAGAAAGAAATGATTAACGAGTGACAAGGCAAGACACCTGATGCTTCGATACTTTGAGCATGTTTGAGGGAATTGTATGATATATAAAGATCCTCAAGCCCCCAGAATCGTCCCTGAGTCGCTTCGTGCTTGTACCTGCATTAGGTTTGCTTTGGCAGCAATAACTTTGTGTGAACGCCTTACAAGCGGGTCACGCCGGTCGAGTGGCTCGGGCTAGAAATGTACGCCATCATCTTACCCAGAAACGGAATAACGTAGCGCGAACGTAGCGCGAACGAAGGTCAGCTTTAGAACGGCTGAAACGGGCGATTGTGCGCCGAGCAAAAGACCGGCGCATACAAAGAGCTAGAGCGAGTCAAAGTAGAGCAGACTTCGTGTGGCTTCTGATGGTGGAAATGAAAGAGATGAAGCCATCGATCGAGAAAATACGTGTCTGCAGGGGATACAGGAGGGGGGCTTAACTTGCTTTTTGACATAACAGCATTTCCCCAGACAAAGTTGGGGCCAAGATGTGATAGCGATGATGCCCAGCAACACCCCCATATTGGCCATTGAAACCTTCAAAAACTACCAGAAAGTGTTTGAGGCAAAAGGGGCCATTCTGAAAGGAATTTTTCATGCGAGTCAAGATGTCATCTTCGGAGCTGGCACCTGGGTTCAAAAAATCCAACGGGGCCTAACGGTTCAAAGTTGTATGCACAGTGATAAGCACTAGACAATTACGGTTTTGACAAGAAGAAAGCGACCCACGATGAACTTCAAAAATCGGGCGATGGCTTTCAATGGCACTGTCTAAGAGAAGGGCGGTAGAAACATCCGGACAAAGGAGCGGAGAGCCGGCCGTGGTGTTGGTGCATGGAGATTTGAGGCGTGAAAACAAGCTTCGGCACAGGCCAGCACCCAGAAAAGGGGCCTGCTGCCGATCCCGATTCCTTGTACCTGCCACCCACGCCTCCCGACTGTTTTCATGACTTGGTCGGCTCTCTCAAAAAAAAAAAGACAGATCATGGTAGGGTTAGGATGATTGGGGATATATCGGTGGCTGAGTTTTCTCAACTGTTGCACAATTCCCCGCGAAGAAGGCCCAATGATCAGCGCACCCCGGGAACCGCCGAGACATCCACAACTTACGAACAAGCCACACATGGTATTCCTGATAACGAATGAGCAGTGCGGCTCAGCTTAGGACTTTACATATGTCTCATCACTAACGCCCCCTTTGATGAAACTTACTGTCACTAAGCCCCTCTTTTCTACTGCTGTTCACATTCTCACCGAGAACACTTGAGTACTCGCGAGAGCGTTCACACCCCTTTTGCCCCATGATGAGGCACTCAGAGTCACAATTCCTATCCTCTTACAAGACGCCGCCATTGTCTTCACCGTGCACGGGCCGAGAAACTTTACGCGTGGTTTCTCAACCGCTCGCCTGCTGAGGCCCGCCACAAACGCCAGCCATATCGTATCCACCCGTCCTTGCCGGGAGTAAAAGGTCCACAGACCACAGCAAATTCTCATTTAGCGCCTTTGATTCCACAAACAAAACAAACATGTTTGTTCGTCTAATTCAATATTACCGCACACGGTTCGTAGAGGTTTCTGCTGGCACCGCCTTCGTTTTTGGAAAGCTTCCTAGGGGTAACCCCTTTGGCCGATGTCATTGTCCATGGCGTTGGATCCGTTCAGTGCGAAAGGATCAGCAGGGTCAAGGGAACAAATTCGTCCCAAAAATATCGGGTGTTCCTGAAATGGACTTGTCGCGGCAGGCTTCTGACTCGAAACATGCACGGCCTCCTTAACTGGACATATTTGTGCTGATCGCACAGCCTTGGGCGCCTTGTTCCACTTGGCTATCTACGATCACTACTGCATTCACTAGTCCTATCCGCAACTGTCAAGATGTCATAACCCGTAAATCCATGCGCCTCATTGCAACGACACATTCGGAGCCATTGGCCGTTCGAATTTCGTCAGAAGTTGGGGCGAACATTCCGAATCATTGGCCCGTCGGCTCGAAGAATTTGCTTTTCTACCTCGCAGCTTCAGCGCAGTTGCCCAGGCCGCGCGGAGATATCCGCATCGACTTCTTTTTCTATTCTCCGCCACCGCCCACGGCATATTCCGAGGTGTGGAAGCTGTCTGACACAGGTTGTAATTCGTCTTTGATTTCATGGCTTTGGGTGGCCCTATTAACAATGGCGGACGTGCTCCGGGAGCTCCCAAAGTATTTCACCCCTTTCGACCCAGCAAACCTTCATTATTCGCTTTACTTTTCTAATGCATTTGGCCATTTAACGTGGAACATATCAGGGGCGAAATTGGGGATAGAGGTTAACATCCTGCTAACGCTTTTCTTCATTCTGGCAAAAGTTTCAGCAGGCGGACCCCGTTCCGGTGGTATTCAACCCGTTGTGATGAAGTCCTCTCAGGATATGGCTGCATGATAATGTGGATTCACTACTCCCATGTTATAAGTGAGCTACTCCACATACCCCTCGCCATTCCATGTTACTTATCTGTTCCTCCAGATTTCTAGCAGCCTTTCAGTCATGTTCGCCGTTACTTTCCCAAAACGCCGTCATTCTGTCCTTTTCACCCATATTGGCACCTTGCATTGAAAGACATCTAGGATCTATTCCGAATGCAGCGCCAGCAGCTCCTGAACCCGCAGGTATCGCACTTCATGATCCAGGGAAGATATTGGGCATCACAGACTTGGCAGATTTCACCATAAGTACGGGACCAGTCATGGTCGACGCAGTTTCCGTGACTCTGGGCGTTGCCCTGGGCTTGAATAGCGTTATTGGCGGTAACGAGAACTCCAACGCTTCGAACAGCCGCGGTGTGAGCGACAGTCGGGTGGGGGCGAACGAGATAGTTCTCATCCCATTGTGGACACCGACATTCCTTCCACTGGACGCCGCACAAGTAGCAAAACTGGTGGGAGCACCGGCAACTAACCCCAAGTGAGCCTACGTAAAGGCATAATGAGGCGAGGGAGAAGACTTACGTCATGTGGAAACATCCCACAGCCAGCTCAACCATGTTATTGCAACGCAAGCATTGCTGCCACTTGCTTCGCTTCGCGGCATCCATGAGTAGTTGGACATGGGGATCTTCCTCACATAGCCCACGGTCATGATCTTTCGCTTTGCATTCAACGCAAGTCTTGCTCTTGCAGAACGGGCATGTGCCGACTTTGGCTCGAATATCCCGGCTCAGGAGGAACTTTGCGCAGTCGGGGTTGTGACAGTAGGTCGGGTTCGGCGTAGCCATCTCCTCGACCTTGAGATCAAAGTCCTTGATCATCGCTTTCGGAAGTATGGCCCGACATGTATCGAGCGGGATCGGAACCCTGCAACACCGTGGGGGAAATAGGTCGTTGTCTTTCAGTGCACTCTTGAACAAGTTGAGTAAACACTCGTGACAGTAAACATGAGCCTCCGGTTTGCACTCAAGCTTGATAGTGAGCTTGTTCGGCACATGCTCCAAGCAAGCGCTGCATTGCGTACGTATGTCAACAGCTGGAAACTTCATCTTGACTTTCGTCCACTCATCATCACCCACACACTCCTTCTCGTCACGGAGTTTCTCCTGATAGTCCTGGCTGAGCTTGTCCCCAGGATTCAGGCCAGCAAGATGCATCGCCATCTCATGGTCGCGAATGGCCTGCTTCTCTTCTTGCATGAGCCTTGCGAATTCCACGCGGTTGTCGTGCTCTGTCTTTAGCAAGTGGAGCGCGAGAACTTGGCCTTCGAGGAGAGACAGCTGGCGCTGCATATCTCCCCTCATTAATTCTAAGCCCGCTCGTTGGCCTGGGAGCGTATCGAAAAGGCCCTCGAGGAGCTCATCGACATCGGTGAGCTGTAGCTCAATTGCTAGTTTAGCAGTCTCGGGGTCCATCGTTGCGACATCCATCCTGGTTGAGGTGAGAAGGTCGATGGGAAGGTGGGGCAATCAAGTGCAGGTGAAGGAGGGTGGGCTGTTGACGGTGGAGGCGACGATGGGTATGAGCCGCTTAGTGAAGGTAGGTCTCATTGAAAATGCAAACGAGCTGGCTTTTACAATCGACTTCCAGCAGATTCCGGTGTCACTACGGTGACAGCTATGACGTGGTGTGACGGGTAGCTGCAGTGAAACCGCTACGCCAACGTATATCAACGGTTCCGAATAGTTTCTGCCCATCATATTGAGTGAAAGACGGAATTCAAGCTTGCACTAGTGAGGATAGTGATGACAATACGATATCTGCAACATGTTATCACTTATCAGAGAATATGACTAAATAGACTTAACTTGTTAACCCTCCTGCTAGAATTTGAGAGGAGATTTAACAGGACATCAATTTTTGTCTTAAATTACTTCTCTTGTGCACCATGTGAGATTGTTAGACTGAGCAGGTCGAGCACGACGACTGCAGCTTCAGCGCACCGTACCAACCAGGTCTGGCCACCAACCATCACACTCACTCACTCCTCCAAAACCTCCTCCTCCGCCGTAATCTAACCAGTATTACCATGCCTACCCTTCGGTGGCGAACGTTTCCTCACCAACGTCCACGTCCCACCTGCAACACCCATCGTGTTAAAAATGCAAATACCTCATTCCATTCGTATAATTATCAATAAACAAGTACCACTTGCTGGCAGCCGTGCTACCCTTGAAAACTGACAGGTCTTCTCTCTTGGAAATCGCTCTACTGCTAATATAATTTGACCGCAGCTCAGGGGCCAGAGGGGAACGTCGCTTTAGATTCTTCGATGAGCTCGTTTAGATGGATCTTGCTGTTTTAGTAGAACGTATTTAACTATTCGCCGAGCACGATGGTAGCGTCCATCACGCCACCCGTTAAGGAATCTCTCAACGATGGAGAAGACTCTAAAGTCGGAGGGTAGGAGGTCATGATATAACAGCTATTTTCCTTGTGAGTGCACGTCCAAAGGATGAGGTATTTGGATTGGGCGGGAGCCCAGATGCTGTCCAGGGCTCAGGTCATGGGGAATCAGAGGGAGAAATTGTTGCCAGAAGGGATCTTGACAAAATTCTGCCGGCGTCAGTAGATTCCCGGGTGATGATGACGTTAGCGTTGGCTGTAGCTTCGTAGTTACTCGTAGCACAGGCACGGAGTGCTTTAGGAGAAGTTGTTAGAGGATGCGCTTGCCATTTGATGGGATGGTGTACTGCAATGGCCCCAGGGGATATACCAGTATTGAATTCGGATGATTCTGGCATCTCTAGCATCTTTGGTACCTATAGTGGAGGTGAGTTTAGATCGTCTGCTTTTCACCTGGGTCTACGAGTTGGGGTTCCTGTTATTTGACAGACTTGTAGACTTTCCCTCCATCCATAGACTCGACTGTAAGCGAGAAGTATCGTCACCAGTGAGTCAGAGCTACTCGTGGTCGGATAGCATTATATGTAGACGAGGAGGTAGGAGGTATAAAAACAGCAACAGTTGTAGGAGATAAAGAAGCGGATGGACCTAAACATAGTCAAAATCTTACTCCTTATAACAACAGCATTGAAAGAACACTACGACCCCCATGGTAGCAAATTCTCACAATAGCCCCGTCGAATTTCACCACCTCAGTCGAAACCAAATCCAGGAACATATCCTCATCAGTCAGAACTTCATACCCAAATTTGGAATCCGCTTGCGCAATTATGGCTGAATGGTAAGGAGACGAGCGCCCAGGGATGGTAGAAAAACGTTTCACCATGGAGCGAAACAGTACAACGTTCGCTGAAACAGTCCCAATTGTGCTGGCCAGGGAGTATATTTCTCTAAGTATGGAAGCTGTCTAACCTGCGGAGCCCCTGTGATTTGAATTAGGACTCTAGGATATATTGTATCTTGTCATCTAGTGTGGAACACAACGAGAGGGTAATCTAAGAGAGAAATCTACACAGTACGTTAGCCTTCTATTTCATTCTAACAAGAGATCTACTGGGTAAACTATACCCCCATTTGCATACCATGTGATATACTAGCATGCTGTAGAGGTGATGTAGCGTGAGTGCCCGCGAGTCAGTAGTGCTCTTGTCCGTTTTAGTTAGGCATGAACGAACATCCTTCGACGAGTTTGCGAGGATGACCGAGGTGAAAGAACGTCGTGAAAACCAAAGAGAAGGCATTTTGGCTTGTGAACTGTAAAGAAACGTAAAATGTTATGCTATGAAGTGTGAAATATAATAGGAGCGGTTAAATGGGATGCGCAGCCAATCAATTAACGAGAAACGCGATTGCGACTTACATCAAACGGTTGCGCTTCAGTCAATTGCTCCTCTCGTATTCACCGCTTTCCGTAGGACACGGCAGGGGTAGTTCATAACTGAAGATCGTATCTCGATGATTCGAGCAAGAGGCTGAACGATTTAAATCTTCCCTGCAAATCCCATGCGCGTGACTATGCTGTGCGTCAAGTCGCAGAGGTGCCTGAGGAAACCGAGATATGTTAGTAATGTCAATATCTGACAGGTTTGAACCGAGGGTTGGGAAAGAGGTGAGTTACGTCAAAGCGTTACAGTTCCAGAGATGGGGATAGCCCAATCAGAATGGAGGGATCAGACGTCCGGCGTAGCAACTTTCGTGCCTCGAAGCTCTGGCCACCATTATCAGGAGGTATGAGATGTTGAAACAGTGATCGAACACTTAATAGTCCTCCAAATATTGCGGAACGCGCAGTAGGTGCGGATGAAATGGTAGAAATAGAAGAGCCTTACGGAGGATGAGGTACTGAAGAGGATCACTCACTCCCGAGATCGGACGATTTCAGACCATATTCGTAATGTCGCTATACACACTTTCTTCCCCCGGTGTGGTTATACCACCAGCGTCGTCAGTCATTTTTCTAGCACTATTTTGCCGCGCGCAGGTAGGTTGTGCACCGATGAATCGGGGATATTGCTGATTCCGGACGCAGGGACTCGGGACCTCAATCGCTTCTACGGCCGTCCGGGATACCGAAGGATCGACCTCAACATCAACAACATCGCCGGCACAACGGACTTTTGATTCAAATATTCCAAAAGACAGATCGAAGAATGAGATTCCCATGATCGTCGGCATTGTGCTGGGCGTGATAGCCTTCTTCATCTGTTTGCTGGTTTTGTCGATTCTCATTTGGAGACGACAAGAGAGGAGGATGACAGAGAAGGCGAGAGTTGCGGGGGCGAAAGCTGTGGGTGCGAAAGCTCAGCTATGGGAATTGGAGGACTTGGATGCGACGTCTGCGGGTTTGCCGCCATACGAGGCACACGTATCACCTCAGAGGGTAGTCGTCGAGGTAGACGGGGACCGAAAGATCACTGAGATTGATGGTGCGAGGGCGTGAATGTCATTTATACTAAGTGCGAGCAATGGACCTAAGGCACATTGGGAATTGATATCCACAGGAACAGCGCAGATTCGTGCGACCGCCAACAAAGCTCACACGCCAATAATCCTTTATATCTGCTTCATATCACCCAACGTGGAAAAAGACAAGAGTGGGAAATTCAGGACAGATATTTTCCTTGCTTTTGACGCTCTCCTTGAATTTGGTATCTGATCTAACAGATTTCAATTTGCTCTAATCATGTTCTACGTACGTGATAACATGCTGTAGTGGACCGCCTGGTTGGGTCTCGGCTAGCATAACCTGTCCCTAGTGCTCTTCTGGATGCCAGCAAGCATATCAGCGCCCGATGTTGAGGCTCGGCGTAGAAGAATGCACCCAACCAACTCTCTCTCTCTCCGGTCTCAAAGACAGTCTTGGGGGTTCCAATCACTCAGATTCCGATTCTATTTGATGATGGGTTGGCCAGGGTGCATCGGGTGGATCCTTGTCACTGTCGTAATGGGCTTCACATTCCGGGTCTTGCTCAAATCCAATTTCATGGTGCTCGATGGCCATTGTCAACGCATCATACATTGTGCGATCCTCCTCTTGGTCTGTAGTATCAACGTAAAGACACCACATGTTGTCAAAGTCCGGAAACGTAAGTCGGTCATCCCCTTGCATTGGGAAAATAAGGCTAAAGCGTTGTAGATTTAGTGACTCTCGAAACGTCGTCAAGAGAGACTTCCATGACCCGTTCTGAAGCCTGGAGTATGCAAGAGAGACGTCAGATAATGTTGCACTGTGTTGTAGGACAAATCTAGCCAAGTCATGCTCATGGAACATGCTCCCCTGAATCTGGAATGTCTTCAGCTTTGGAAGGATGGTCGAGCGAGCGAGAGAATCCATGATTGGCAGGGTGAAACGTGAATAGGCCCCCGGTCCATCAAGGTGTAAGGATAGGCTTTCCAACTCCGACGCGGCTGATATAAACTGAGATATACCGTCCTCCCACCCAGGGAGGCGAGCAGTCCCATTGTATGTAGCGCTGATACACAGATTGAGAGACTGAAGGCGGTGGAAGGCGTCGCTCAACGTAACAAGATAAGGGGTCGGTAGCTTGAAAGCGTGGTGAGGGACAATTGCGCAGCTGTCCCTCATGAAATCAATTTCAGCCATGCTAAACTCTTCTAATTTGACGCCGCTAGTGAGGATTGCATCAAGGATCAATCGAAAACAGCGCGACTGGAATTCTATGCAGGAGGACTTCTTGAACATTTGGCCCTGGACTGCAAGCGAATCGATCAGGTAGAATCGAATGAGGGTCAAGTTAAAAAACCCGTGGAGAGCGGTGGAAAGTGGTGCGACTCTTAATTCGAGCGATGTACCATTCATGAAATCATCAAAGAGCTCACGCTCTGCGTTTTCTTTGCTCGCCTTGGCGATCTCTTGCGCCTTTAGAAACTCGGATTTCCCCCTAAAGAAAGGCTTTTCGCGCGTTTTAGCAAGTGGAAGTTTTGGGCGGCGGCGCGGTTGGATGCACAGTTCTTTTACGGTTCCTGCTAGATGCGATTGCGATAGTTCTACTAGCATGGTCAAGGACGATGAGTTCAGTGAAGATTTGATCGTTGAGAAGAATCTGCGCCGAAATTCGGGGAGCGTGGTTAAATACAGCAGCCGTGATGCGAGACGGAAGGAGCCATATGGTGTAGCTTCCAGATTGGCGGTGATGAGGTCCAGGAGCTCTGCAGGGAGCCGCTCGATGAAGGAGGCCATGATAGACAGCCGAGTGTGCATCTCATGGAGAGAGCGTAATTTAAGGATTCCCAATTATCGTAAAATCAGCCATGGAGCGGGGCTTGGTGTACCATCAACTGGCAGTTCCGACCCTCTCAGACAGAAATGAGCAGTAGTAGTAGATCAAGCAAACCAAGATCTGTCAGGGAGGACAAACGGAGGAGGGACGGTCCACCACTCCGCCACTGCTTGTAAGGCTTAGAAAGTGTGGTGAGCGTGGTGAGCGTGGTGAAGGAGGTGTAGTCAAAGAGGAGGGGTGGGGAGCACTTGGCTGGGAACGAGCAAGTAGGAGTCGAAGTGTGGCTCTCGGGTGGCGGTGCACGTGCCATATAGCATGCTGCCCCATCAATTGGAACGTAATTAGAGTCGGCTTTGCTGTAAAAACCATTGCTTAGGATTAGGTAGAAGGCTAATAGGATTCATGTCTCTCTCCTAAGCTACCCTTGTCATGTTCCACGTGAGGCGATGATGGTGATTGACATGGGGGCACATGCCCGATTTTAAGGATTAAGCGGCCCCGATCGAGCCAACACTCTACACCACACACCCCACCTGTGCACTTGCACTCCACCCCTGCACCTTTCGTGAAAATAACCACACATACTAGAGCACCCAACAGTCTTTCTTTTCTTTTTTTCTTTTTTTTGCCAGCATCAGAAACACCACTGCTGTCACGCTCTTTTCCCTGTGCAGGGCCCATTCCAGGTACGGAGCGCCCTGTTTCCGGGCCAGAATGCAGTACCACAACAGAGACATTGACATGCTATAGACACACCTTCTACCATCCTTTCTGCACCCTATACCAACATGGACTCAATGCGAAGCCTCAACACGTCGCTCCCGCGAGCGACCAAACCGAAGCCAACCCCGCCCCCAGACCTATCGCAGACATTCCGAATGGCCGCTTTAGCCGTAACCAACCTCTACAAGGCAGCGGTGGCGGATTCGGAAAACACGCATGCTGAGGGATATCAGCAAGCGCTGGATGACCTGCTTGGCTTTCTTGATAAGGAGAACTTGGGTGTGGGTGATGGTGAGGGCTGGCGGATACGGCAGTGGGTCACGGAGCGTCAGGACAAAGTTTTTACCGGTCCGGCCACCAGCGACAGCGATGAGGACGTTGCAGAAGAGAAACGCGCCCGCAGCTCCTCCCCGGTATTGGGTCGAAACTCCAGCCTAGAGGACGTCCACACATCGGAGCCGCCGCATGTGGAGGCTCCCCAGCGTTCAGACTCTGCACCCCCGCCCATACACACCGAACCCCCCGCAACTGATGTCGACATGGCGCCTCCGGCCATATTCCAATTCTCGTCACCGCATGTCCACCCTGCCAATGGCGCCAACGACTCTGCTGGTCCCGACTTGTCTGCGGCCGCCCGTCGCGCTTTCGCCACCCCACGCCGCACCTCAATTCGCTCGTCATCGCGCAATCTCCAGCGGTCAGCAGCCTCAAATCTACTCTCCTTGGGAAACGGCGCGGGCCAGAAGCGAAAGTTGATGAGCGAATTTTTCAATATCGACAACTTCAGCGATCGACGCGATGGGAATGGTGGAGGAAAGCGGGGGCGCATGCTGTGACACATGGTTGCTCTACAGAAACGACGGTCCTGATACGGCTTTTCACACGACAGAGCGAGCGACAGTGCATTCTAGGGAATCGGGCGGACATTCTTCAGCATTTGACGGAGCCAGCATGTTTACGGGGTGCATAAACAGGAGTTCATTTCTTCGAGGAGGAAGATACCATACACGGTCCAATGCATCAGTCGGGGCTTTACTACTGTAGACTTGTATTAGCATCTCTCGGTGCACTGCTTGGTGACTGGAATAGAGAGTATTTTGATCTGAGTTGTTTCTCTGCCACGTGATATTACATTGATCGTACACCCCTCTCCGAGTGCTACCGCATAATACCATATAACGCGGAACATGGCTTGGGTAGAATCTACCCGTTAAACCGCTTCATAGAATAAAGGAGAGAGACAACAGGACGCGAATTTCCATGCCAACTTCCCCCGCCATACTCCGCGGTAGGTGATAAGACGCAGTAAAACTGAAGATTAGCGCTGGAACGCTTTTGCTATCGTATCCGCGCTGCCCAAAGCCAACGGGCTATTTTTTGTCACATACGCCAAGCAGTCGAAACGCCCCTCCCTCTTCATTGCCTGCACCAGGCAATTGGGTTGGCCTGCTTGTCTATGCAAGCCACCGATAGATGCCAATTCCCACCAGCGTAGCCGCCATGCCCGTGATGCCAGCCCTCCTGGACCCCATTTTAAACATGCTGTTGCTCTTCAGTATAGCTGCTTCCTGCAACTTGAGTTGCGAGTGTCCGGAGAAATAAGTGTATGTGCCGAGGCCGACGAACGCAGCGCCGCCTGAGGCAGTAACATGGATCAGCTCCTTCGTTCAAATGAAGACTGTTGGAGAAAGCCCTGCTAAGTTCTGGAGAGCACTCACCCATCACACGACACGGAGTGCAATCGTCGTATTCTGCTTTGTCTTCTTTCAGCGCTTCTTTAATGGTCGGTACGGCCGGTGGACCCTGAAATATCTGATCCCTGGCCATGGCTCTTTTGCACTCGTCCTTTGCGCCCCTAAAAACGTCACGGTACAGCTGATTGAAGTTGCAAGCTGAGTTGCGGCTGCTCTTGTGGTTGAAGGTCGGAGGAAAATCCGCCGAGGCAAGGGGGGCAAGGGCCCCCCCCCCCCCCCCCCCCCTGTAAGATCGCATCCCCCCCGACATTCAGAGCTCCGATCCCCGCTAAACTCACCTCACCAGGCTCTCCAATTCGGGCCTTCATACGAATTTGAGGTGACATTTTAGACAGTATGAGCGTAGTAGAAGCGCTATATATCTTTGACGAGCACAAGTAAGTCTACACGCTTTTCACAGCTGGGTGGAACTAACACTAGATTGCAGCATACCACTCCTCGAACACACCTATACCGGCCGACCGCCGCCTGGCAGCACCATCCTCCCACTCTATCTCCAGCACCCTTCTCCACAGCCGTCGCTAATATATCTCCCAAACACAACCCCGCCGACACTTCTCTACTCGATAATTCAGGATCGGCTGCTCTATCTCTCCCCATGCTCGACCGACACGGAGCCACTTCAGGTTCTGGAATTCCTCCACCGGGTTGCTGATGCGCTGGAAGACTTCCTCGGCTCGCCCCTGCTAGCGAGTAAGATTGAGGGTAATTACGATGTGGTTGCGCAGTTGCTGAGTGAGATGGTGGATGGAGGGGTCATAAATTGCACGGAACCGAATGCTCTGAGGGATGTTGTTGAGGCGCCGAGTTTCATGAAGAGTATACTGGGAGGTGTGGGGCTGCCTAGGTACATCTTATTTCCACTGATACTCCTCCTTCAACGCCTAGACCTTGACTGAGTCGGGTTCAGTGAAGGCGCAGCTGACCTGAATACAGCACAACGCCCTCCCCCCTCAATCCCTCAAACACCACCTTCTCCCTCTCATCACGCCCCTCCCTCCCCCGCCCAATTGCAAACCTCAACAACGCATCCCCTGTCCCTTGGCGCCGCGCAAACGTCCGCCACACGAGCAACGAACTCTACGTCGATATCGTCGAAACGCTACACATAACGCTTTCCCCCTCCGGCCGACCCCTCTCCGCCCTCTCACACGGCACCATCGCCTTCACGGCAAAAGTATCCGGAGTCCCTGACCTCCTCCTACATCTAAGCTGTCCCGGCGGCATCGCCAACACAGTTGCGCTCCCAGTTTTCCACCCCTGCGTTAGATTAAACAGATGGAAAGAGCGGCCCGGTGAATTATCATTCGTACCACCAGATGGCCGCTTTGTGCTCGCAGGCTACGAAGTCGATCTCCTCGGATCCTCGGCTCTGGATGCGTTCTCCACAGCCACGAAAGGGGCTGCAGGTCCGAGACTCAATGTCCCTGCAACGGCAACCGTGATCCCATCTCTCGGCCCCACGGGCGCGGACTTCGAAGTCAGATTAACGCTAAACCCGCGGTTTATGGGGAAAGCAAAAGCACCTTCCCCGCTGCCATCCGCGACAGGCTCCTCGTTCCCGCGGACAGGGGGGTTAGGTAGAGGGATAGGTGGCAGTGCGGGATTCGGATCGCAGGGCACGACGGCGTCGCCGAGTATCGAGGAGTTGGTCGTGCATGTTCCGCTGCCGGTGGGTGTGAGGAATGTCGCGGAATTGAGGGTTACGAAGGGGCCTGGGGATGCGGGTTATACGGCTGGCGATCGGTGTATTGAGTGGAGGATTAGTGCGAGGGAGGTTGGTATGTTAATGGCCGGTGACCGGGGGACGGGGCTGGGGGCTGTTGCTTCGATGCGGGGTACTGTGGTTAGTGCGGGCGTGGACGAGGATGGGGATGGTGGGGGTAGTGGTGGTGCTGGGGAACTGTCCAATCCGTATGACTATGATGATGATACTGCGTCTTCGTATCAAGCGCCGGAAGTTTCGCCACCCAAAAAGGAGGGACCAGAGGCTGATGCAAGGAGGGTGAGACAGAACAAGGTTCTGATGCCGTCATGCGCGACGGTGAGCTTTTCGGTCAAGGGCTGGCTGGCGAGTGGGATTCGGGTGGAGAGTTTGATGGTAGATCAGAAGAAGAGCAAAGGGCTAGGCGCGGGCGTGACGCCGTATAAGGGTGTCAAGTATCTGTGTGTCAGTAGGAAGGGCGTGGAGAGTCGATGTTAGAAGGCTTGTGAGTGGAGAGTCGACGTTAGAAGGCTTGTGAGTGGAGAGTCGATGTTAGAAGGCTTGGGAGTAGGGAGGACGTTAGAAGGCTTGGGAGTGGAGAGTCGACGTTAGAACGCTTGTGAGGTCTGGATACTGCCGTAGGTGCATTGCATGGTGCTGTGGGTCTTGGGGTTATGATACTGATGGCATGAGGCGCATCAATGGAAGGCAGATTCGGAAATCCTGTTTGGGACCGCCAGCTCCAGACGAGAGCAAGACGACTTCACGAAGAAAAGTGACGGCGGACATGAATCGAAATGCAATCCGACTTCCCGATGCTCAATTGGCTTGGTTGGCTTGGCTGGCTTGGTTGGCTCGACTTGATAGACTTGATAGACTTGATAGACTTGATAGACTTGATAGACTTGATAGACTTGATAGACTTGATTGACTTGACCAACTTGATTGACTTGATTGACTTGATCGACTTGATTGACTTGACCAACTTGATTGACTTGACCAACTTGATTGACTTGATTGACTTGATCGACTTGATTGACTTGATCGACTTGATTGACTTGATTGACTTGATTGACTTGATTGACTTGATTGACTTAATTGACTTGATTGACTTGATTGACTTGATTGACTTGATTGACTTGATTGACTTGATTGGCTCGATTGACTCGATTGACTTGATTGACTTGATTGACTTGACTTGATCAACTTGATTGACTTGATCGACTTGATCGACTTGACTGACTTGATTAACTTGGTTGACTTGGTTGATTGGTTGACTTTGATTGACTTGATTTGATTCATCTGCTCTAGCTTGCTCGGAGCCCAAAAATCCGCTCCTTCTTCGCCGCCTATGATACAATTCCCCTTTCTCACATGATCCTGCTTCTATAAGTCCATTCCACCTCAGCACAAAAGAGATCTTGATGGGCGAGCGGAGAGAGGTTTATCTGCCAAGAGCAGCGGCCCGCTCGTCCTCAATCTTTTGGTAGAAGGCATCACGGTGGCGCACGGAGGGGACGTGATAGCCTTAGACTCGTGAGATTGAAGTTGTGCGATGGATGGCGAAGGGTTGAGTGTTCACGTACCATACCAGAAGCCGTAGCCGGCCGCTGTGCCGAGGCCTAGATGCACACTGTCAACAAAGCTCATTCACTCGGCCCAACGACATAAAAAGGCCCCTAGAAGCTGCAACTTGAGCCGAAGGGCTGAAGAAGGGAGATCGTACCGAGAGCAACGGAGATGTCAAGCACGGCGGCTCGTCGGAGCATCTGCAATCCTCTAATCAGCATGCCGACTCAATCCCTTTCTTTCAAGAAGCGCAATTGCAGCACGTACGCCCACAATTGGTTTAACGGCCATTGTGTGTTTCAGTATTCGGTATTCGTGAGTGGAGAGTGTTGTGGGGTGGGAGCGCGGGTGGTGGAGGTGGTAGTGGTGGTAAGTGGATGCGGGATGTGAAAGTGAAGAGCTGATGTGAGCGATTGCTGGGGGGGGGGGGGGCTCTGGCTGGTGGTGTGAACCCCGGCAACTTCCGCAATGTGCCAAGCTGATGGTAGGACGTGCGTTCTTTCCGACTGTGAGCCGCAATGGGAGCTCCAGATGAAAGACACCATCGCGGTGAAGGCTCTTATTCACCTAATACCCACCTGTAGTATTGTTCGCGCAAACCCACTAGAGTCGCACCTCCTCGGACTACCTTCTGCTCAACACTCTTACCTCTCTCTCCTCGAACGCTCGCACCGACGACTTCCACACCACCCGAAGACTCGAACGACAGGACACACCTCGCGCCATCGTGAGTAACGGCGTCAACATGGCGGGCATACGCCATGCACCCAGCGGGGCCGGCGCAACATCCATCGCGGGCCTGAAGAGAGCGCACGCGGGAGACGCCGACCCCTCCTGTGGGCTGCACGCAAAGAAGCGCAGGGTCGTACACAGGCTCCAGCACCTCCAACCAACGCAGAACATTGTTGAGACTCTCAACGCCGAATGCGACACCACCGGCCAGCACAAAGACTTCTTCACCCAGCAACTCAAGCGCGGAATCGCCATCGAGCTCAAGGCCGTAGGATTTGATTCCGCGCGACCAGAGGCTATGGAAAGGATGTATGGCCTCGTCGATAACTTCATGACCGACTTCCTCGCGCGCGTGCGGAAGTCCATGGCTAGCGCCCGTCGCACTTCCACCATCCCCCACGACTGGATCTACGCCCTCACCTCCCTCGACATCACCCGCTCCTCCACCCTCGCCTTACACCTCGACTCCGGCGAACTCCCCCCGCCATTCCTGCAACCCGGATTCGCCCCGCCAGAGCCCGCCGAGCCGCCGCCCCCGGATCTCGAAGGCTTGATAGGACCCGAGTTGAGTGGGAAGGCAGAGAAGGAAACCCGGAAATGGATCCCCAAGCATTTCCCCCCTTTCCCGAGTAAACATACGTGGAAAGCCACACCAGTGTTCACCGAAAGGGAAAATGATCCTAGGAAGATTCGAGAGAAGGCAACAGAGGAGGGGATTCAGGCGGAGCAGTCGCTACGGAAACTCATGGCGGCGCAGAAGGCGGGGTTGCAGAAGAAGTCGGCGACAGAACAGAGGCGGGCGACAACGCGGAAGAAGAGCGATGCGCTGTGGCAGGATGCCATGAAGAGCCTCCTGGAAGAGGAAGAAAAGCGCGATGCAGCATATCGCGAGGATGAGGATGAAGATTGTATTGGGCTGGAGATGAGGCCGAGGCCGAGGAACGAGGTTAATTTGGAAGAAGGGGTGCATGCGAATTATGATCAACGGTATTGGAGGAAGGCCGCTAGAGAAGTCAAATCAGGGTTTTAGGTGAGATGGCTGGTGGCAGGTGGCTAACTTCCACAATTGTACCTTCTACGATTCCCAGGTACGGCGTTTTGGGTGGCGAGACTGCATGTATACCTCGGAACTGGATGGCATAGCACGGCGCGGGGATCAGTGTTACTCCAAGTTACACTTGCACTTTTGGCCACTAGCAGAGCCGTGGAGCCGAAAAGAATCAATCTGATCTTCTACTCTGCAGATGATATTGCAGAAATGGATTCGTTGATAAATCACCAGGCCCTACAGCACGTTATTACATAACATAGAATGCAACTACGGTAGGGGGTATTTTTCAACCCCCCTCTGGAGTGAATTAGTGAACAGGCTAACAGAGCCCAAAATTTCTGTCCTGAACTACCCCTCTGTCATGTTCTTTGTGAGGTGAGGAGTAGCAGTAGTTATACACCGACTAGCCTTGAAATATCCACCTGCCCCTCCATGTCCGAGTCTCCTTCACCACACTATATGGCATACAACACACTCTCCTATACACCGTTTCGCTGCTGTCGTGCTGAGCATTTGATGTCGTAGTGCCAGTCGAAGCTTTTGTCTACTTTGACTATCCCTTCGCCCCCTCACTTCCGACCCTGTCTATCCTTCCACGCCTCCCAAGCCGTCGTTTCCACCGTCATCCCTTCACACCTACCACAAATCATCAGCCATAAATCCCCTAGAATTTCTCAAATCTAATCCCAATTTACCCCTCTAACTTTTCCCCCACGCGCGCCAAGCCCTTCCATCCACAACCCCAACTTCCAAACATATATAAATCAAACTTACTGCCGGAACAACCGCACAACAGGCTCACAGATAATCGTCGGTTCCGCCTTATTCTGTTTCTTCTTTCCCCCTTCCGCCCCTTCGCTCGGCTTCGGCGGGTATATGTTGCATTTGTATTGCACCATTTCTTTCAGCGGGCAGTCGCGTACATTGGAGATTGCCGCTGCGGGTTTGCGCGGTTTGCCGTTGGCGAGACGGGATATTTCTGTTTCGAGGGCGGAGAGGGGGATGGGCTGGAGAGGGGGCGCCATTAGGTATTAAAGAGTGGCTGTTGTGGAAGCGGTGAGAGGGGGTGAAGTGGGTTGAAGAGATGTGTGCGCAGAGATTGGGAGAAAGGTTGCTGGGGGAGGTGACGGTTGAGGGTTTGGGCGAGGTATTTTACCCACCAGCAAAACTCTATCGCAACTTTTGAGCCGACGATATGATAGTTACTGAGCTCTTTACGATATCTAAGTACTTTAGGAACGACGATGTCGTATTTTGGGATCCCGGAACTCGATGCTCTGCTACCCGAACATCCACTAGCACCAGCCTCCCTCCCAGCACAACAACAACCCCAGTTAACACAATCCCGCCAACCCAATCCGTTTCCCCCAAACCTAGGCCCTCCTCCGCCGCCAGCACAGAACTCTCCCGTGCCAAAAATTTCCGCCCCGAAATGCCCTGGACCAATCATCGAGCTCATTTCCCCACCACCATCCCACCACCCCTCAGGTTCAGGGAAAACATCGCTCATCTATCTAATCACTGCTCTTGCTATTCTCCCTCCAACCCTCTCTTCAGCGCAGTTGGGGGGTAAGAACGCTGCGATCGTGCTCCTAGACCCGCTTTCCCACTTCTCAGTTTCACGGCTGGCGCAGGTTTGTATTTCGCTCATATGTTCCAAATTCCGGGAAGCTGAAGAGGTTACCGATGGGAATCGGCAAGGTGGGGTTGGGGTTGTTAAGAATGAGGTGAAGCAATGCGTAAAGAGAGCCTTAACCCACGTCCACATCTTCCGACCACAAAGCTGGGATTCGCTAATGGAAATGCTTGAGACTCTTCCGGAGTATCTTTTTGACGGAGAAGGATCCAAGCACCAGTCTATAGGTCGGAGAATTCATGCTATTATTATTGAGGGCGTTGATGCGTTTTACTGGACGATGAGGGCGGATGCTGAGACAGTTATACCCGAGTCGAAGACGATGTCTGCGAACCCGATAGCGAAAGTTGCGTCTGAATCTTCCAAATTTACCGCGGGTTTGGAGAAGCTGTCGCACATGCTGTCCTGTGCCGTTATATTGTCTTCGCACTCAATAACGATGATCCATCCTTTCCGCACGCCATTTCCAATGTCCTGGCCGTCTGGGACGACGAGCACACGGCTTGCGGTGAGGAGGGTTGATGTTAATAAGTTTGCCCCGGCGATTAGTGTAGAAGAGGCTGAGATGGAGCGTCTGCAGCGGTGGGAGGTGGTTAGTCAAGGGCGATTTGAGTGTTGGAGGGTTAAGCTAGGAGTTAGGGATGGGGACGGCTTCGTGTTTAAAGCCGAAGTTGGTGGGGATGGTGTGTGGGTTGAGCAGGATGATGGGTAAACTGTAAGAGAAAAGGGATGCGTAGTTGAAATTTGGGAGACAGTTTCTTTGAGAATTTACAGCTTTTTGGCGTGATTGTGGGATGGAAACGGACTGGAGTTTGTATCGCCATAACCTTCTCTTTGCTTCTAGCAAGTTTTTTAATAGGTAGGCTTCCCCTTGGCCATCTTCCTTGTGACGTGATAACATGTTGAAGCATTTCCACGGTGAAGAGCGTCCACAGAAAGATCCATGCGCTGAATCTCGCTCAGTTGCAAAACTAGCAGACTTGTCAATGAGCAAGTCAAGTGTATAGTCAGAGAGAAGAGCTATGCCTATTTAGGACGCGTTAAACCTATATAGGAAGCTTTCTAACCTAAGTATGCAATCAACTAAGTCAAGTAGGGAAAGAAGCCACTTTCAGGCAGCCGCCCCTGTGCCCTAAATGCCGTCGCCGCGGAAAAGACAAATCTTGGGCCCACGGCAGGGCTGCGTCATGTGGTTACCGTGGCATTTGTTCATGGTGAGCCCGAGGGCTCTACTTTCTATTCAGTGGACACTGTTCACCCGATTCCTTATATAACAATGGAAGTCGATGAGAGAACAGTCAAGGAAGCGAAATAGTGGTAACTAGGACAGGAAGAGCTGAGTTTGAAATCGACGCCGAATCTACGGCTATTGCTGTTTGTAGCGACTAGTTAGAGGACGTGACGACTTCGAGAGATAATACGTGTACGACGCCACGGGGAGCTACCAATTTGGCGTTCGGCACTGAGACTCCAGTATCTCCGACAGATTCTGATATCATTCAGAGAATCGTCGCTCGCCTACCGTCCAGACGAGCCTGAGCAATGGAGGAAAAGGTGGAAGTCAATTGACAAGTGTTTGTAAGCGTAAATTTGGGGAGAGGTTATCCTCTCTTGCCAGAATCCCCTGTACTCTTTTTTTTGCGAATGATTGTCATACAGATTGCTTTTTACTGCCTCCTCGATGCTTCAGATTCCAATCCTAGCTGAAATCTTCTGTATTCCATCCTTCGCGTTCGAGAAATAAATACTTCGTTTCCCCCTCATGCACGTAGCAAAACTAGATATTGCTGCAAGTACCATGGACACTAGAAGAATATGGGCGGATAAAATGCATGTGCGACAGATAATCACAAAACAAGTAACTGACTTAATTCCACAACCTATCCCTATCTCCGATAGAGTGTCCGAACTATCGCATGGTGCGTTATGGAGCTGACAGATAGAGGCACTCGCAGGAGAACTATTAAAGTTAGATAAGTTCATATCTGGCTGAAGCGTCTGGATCAACGGATGTTACTTGAGACTAAAGCGTTTCTTTTGAGGTCGTTTTCCCTCACCCCAGGCTTCGAGAAATCCATCCGGCTCGTCACTTGGGTGATCGTTAAGGAAACCTACAGATGGAACTGGGTTGTTTCAATTAAAAAGCAAGACAGCCTCCCATTTCCCAGCAAGACCAAAGGCCTTCTGCAAGTTCTCTTCAACATTATCGCCTTCAATCCCTATATCTAACACACCGATGGAAAGCAATGATTTGGCGCAACCAACGTCACACTCTCCGCTGTCAAGGTTTTACCAACAAGGGGTATCCTTGAAATGTCAGTATTAAAACGTGATGTGAGCGTGGAATGGTATATATTTACCATAGAGGGTAATGATCAACCCTCTCCCTTTATCTGGGACAAAGTCTCCGATTGCTCAGAAGTAGCTAGCCTTGTTTTGCATTTTTTTCCCTTCCTGGTGCGCTAAGACCGACTTGCGAATGAAATCCTTGCATTCACCTGCGTCCGGTTCCTCCAGTCTGCCCACAAGGAGCTGTGCCCACTGTTTCTGCTTTAAAGCGTAACCCCAAACCCTGTGAGGACACAGGAGGCATTGCTCTTCCGATAAAAGCCTACAGCGCTCGTGCTTATCCCAGTTAAATTGGTACCTCTTTTGGAAGACTGGATTCGCTCGACGTTCTGGGGAAAGGCTCTCCGGCTGTCCCTCATGTCGTGTTAATTGGCAAGGATTTGAGTTTTTGGAAGCATACATTCGAAGAAAGACACAAAATCGACCATAGTCGTGCTACTGACTATGATCAAAGTCAATACTCTGCAGTAGCTGCGCACTTGCATTCTTACCTCTTGTTGACGAATTGTGGGTCATGCGCAGTACTGGTATCACCAGAGCTAGTTGAAGACAATTGTTCTTCCCACCCGCGATTAAGCTCTCTGCCTGAACTTCGACTTGTGTACAAAATGCTGCGACCGCTATGGATATCCGCGGTTCCCATATATTTAAACATTTGCTTGCCTTTCCCTCTATTGCGTATATCCGCGTATTAGCAAATATGAGCAGATTTGCAACATTTGCACTGATGTTCTTAGCACCCCATAAGTATTTTAGACTCCCTTTGTAAGAGCACTGTATGCAGTATGTATAAGGCGCAGAAGGGGGTATAGAATGGTATTAATAGATAAATCCTTAAGGAAGGAAGGATATATATGTGCTAAAACACAACTTTAAGGCATATATACTATTCTGCACCCGATATCAACTGCTGGCTGATTATTCCTACCAAGCTGAAGAAGTCTGCCAAAGTCCCTAGACTACTAGACTTACATCCAGTATATCCCCCAATCTAGACTAAGGGCTAGAATACCCTAGAGGTAATCTATAACAAGTAGTGGGATGGCCAACTCGCTTGTCTGGCCAACTCGCTTATATCCTTGTTGGGAATTGCCGAGTTCACCAACTGCTAGGATTTTGATGCAGGAGGCAGGATCCTTGCGCAAACAGTCTAATCAAGTTCTTAAGCGTAGTAACGCAGCAAACAACAATTTAAGGCCCCAAACACGCCACGCATGCAGTCTCAGCAAATGAGAATCGAGAATGCACGTGCAAAGAGACTGCAGGAGGTGGTCAGCTCCCTCCAGATATCTTATTTTAAGCACTGTGAACGGGGTTTTTAAATTCCTTCTCGAGTTCCATCAGCAGATCTGATACCTCTCACCCATATCGATATCCCTGATCTCGTGTTCTGTACAAGGATGGCAGGCACCAACGTCACCAACTTGATTTCTAGCACGATTGCCATTCTCAAGGCTACTACAAAAAATTACAATATTGTCAAAGATGACAAGGGCCTACGGGAGGCATTCCATGAAGCAGGTAGAGGGCTGCTCCTTGTCGAGGAGGCTCTCCAGACTGCCAAAATTCAACTAGACGCACGCGGCTCAGCCGAAGACCCCCAGAGTGCCATGAGTTCACTGGAGGCCTGCAACACAAAAGCAACGTTGTCCGAGAGCATATTCAAGGACGTCGCTGAGGCACCCGAGACTTCGAGGTTCGAGAGTTACAAAGCGGCCGTGCAACAGCAAGGCAAAGGAAAGACGGCGGAGGTCTTGACGTTGTGGATGATGAAGGACGTATGTGAGCTGGCCGAGAATGATACAATTAAAGAAATAATGCAAAATCAAGTTAAGGGATTGCGTGATGCGATCGATAAATTGTTAAAGATGGAGCCGTCCGTGCCGAAAGAGGGTTCGGGCAACACTTTTAACAGCTACGACGATTCGCGCCAGTTCAATGCCCCTGGTGGTACTCAGGATATCAATACAGGCAGTGGCAACCAATTCTCCAGGACTATTTTCAGTGGGAGTGTGACTTTTGGCAGAACTTCGTGATGAGGACTACTTTTTGTTGGAAAACTACCCATGGTACGGTAACAGATAGGAACCGAAGCCTGGATTCCTGACAGGGTATGTCATTCTTTGGCTGGGCTGTGATGTCTGGGCAGTGCAAGCAGGCATTATTGCGCGTTTGGTACCATAGTTCAAGAACAGTCACTTCCTCGACAGTGTTGGGCTTATGTGAATAAATTATACTATGATGAAGTGTAGCAAACTACATACATACCTGATTTGGTTCATAGCCATATCGATCAATCTCTACTCAGATATATTCAGACACATCCGTCTAGCTCGAGCCAAAATGCACAGGCCCTAACCCTATCCGGTCCAGGGCATCCGAGCGTTTACAGTGAGCCACAAGGGGAAGTTACCAAGTTTTGCGGAAGAGTCCAACAAAGAGAAACGTCAGAAACAAGCCGACCATTTGGCCCCCACTGCTCCTGATGGGATCGTTTCCAAATGCAGCATCAAGGTCGCGAGCCAAGGAGGAACCCACATGATATCATCAGTCCAATATGCAACCCTCGCACTCCCTTCTCGTTACACTGCTGTTCACCCCGACGAAGGATGTTTCTGGACCCCGTGATTCCTTTTTTCTTCCATCGCTCTGCAAATTCCTGTCCTTGATGGGACCGATCGCGGTCTTGAAGTCAGATGTGACGACGGCCACAGTTGTGGTGCGGCTGAATCGCCTCACTGAATTGGTCAGCCCCGAAATAGGCGAAGATATGCCACATTAGAGTGCTCAAATTGCGTGAAGCATATGTCACATCTCGTGTTACGAACGGACCCCATCCATCCCTGGATCAGCTGGCATGTCCGTCGAAGCCTCGAGAGGCGCAGAGAAGATATCAAGTCACTTCATGAGTCGATCTACAACGTATCATCTCGGTTAGTGCATCATTGGTGAAGAGCAGTTATCTATACTCTACGACCTGTTCCTGCCGAGGGTGCCGCGCTCAAACATCTCGTCTTAGCTTGCAGGGCAGAATGTGGCTGGCTTTCCAAGCGTCACCTAAAATCTGACGCCTAAGGTGCTTCAGCCTTCGCAGGAGTGTCAACACTCTCGCAACAGAAGAATATCCCTTCCCCGTCCTTGATAGTTCCTAACTGGCAACTTCACATCTTCTCGCATTTTTCCTTCTCCCGGCAGAGACGACGAGATTCCGATGGCCTCCTTTATTCAAGCACAACTCTGATTAGCACAACTTCGTAATCGGCACTTTGTCAATTAATCCAACGTACGTTAGACAATGGAGAGACCCCTAGACGCGAAATCTCGGTCGCGGCAGCAGTCCCAGAATGCTGCCTCCCTGTCGGAAAGCGAGCACCCACAAGCAAATGGCGCATCTACCCAACACAGTCCGCAATTACATGGTAAGACGGAACCCTCGAGGCGGCCTTCCAGGAGTGAATCCTTTAACAGCTACGACCCCGGGCCCAAATTCAACGCTCCAGGGGGCATTCAGAACAACAATACAGGCCCAGGCAACCAATTTCATAGGCCTAAATTCAATGGGCCTGTGCATTTCGGTAAGAAATTTTGGTACGGTTAGCACAAATCATGATAATTCATCTAGATTGTTAAATCTGGCTGACTTCACACGCCGGGATCTAAAGCGAGTTGAAACTACATACTAATTCTCGGCAAGATCAATCACCATCCGCCCACCTCAGAACTAGGGACACGCAGAAAGACCGGGCCCGGAGGGAGAAGGAAATAGAGATTCTGAGGTGCCTCAATGCATCACCATACCGAGATCGAAAAGACCGAAACCCTGGTCGGGTCCCCAGGACATGTGACTGGTTCGTGTCTCATAAGCTTTTCCGGGACTGGCAGGAGAGTAAGTCATCGAGAATGCTTTGGGTGTCTGCAGATCCCGTATGCGGAAAGTCGGTTTTGGCAAAATACCTGGTTGATTCTATTCTACCGACAACAGAATCCAGAACGGTGTGTTACTTCTTCTTCAAGGACGACTTTGAGGACCAGAGAAATGTGGTTAGCGCTCTCTGCTGTATCCTACACCAACTTTTCAAGCAGAAACGCATCCTACTCTCTGATGCAATTCTCGATCAGTTCGACATCGACGGAGAAACCTTCACTAGTTCATTTAATGGCCTTTGGGACATACTTATCAGCGCCGTAGAGGATGAGAATGCCGGCGAAATCATCTGTCTTCTCGACGCAATTGACGAATGCGAAGATCAGGGGAGGTCTCAGCTCGCTCGAAAATTATGCCAACTTTATGGCACTAGGAGGGACTTTAATTTGAAGTTTCTCCTCACGAGCCGACCCTATGGTGTAATCCGCCGTGGTTTCCAGCCTCTAGAGATTCCAGGGCTGCCGGTGATCCATTTGAGCGGAGAAAGCGGTGTTGAGATGGAAAAGATCTCCCGAGAGATCAATGTTTTTATCAGAGCTAGAGTCCAGGATATTGGAGCACGACTGAAGCTTACATATGACGAGCAAGACCTCTTATTACGAGAGCTTATGCGTGTTCCTAACAGAACGTATTTATGGGTACATCTTACGCTTGACTTGATCGAGAGCGATATCGATATCGACAAAACTGGAATATTCGAGGCCACTTCCCAGCTCCCCAAAACAGTTGACGAGGCATACGACAAGATCCTCTCTAAGAGCCGCGATTCCGAAAGGGCCCAAAAATTACTATACATCGTTGTGGCGGCAGCACGGCCCCTGACCCTGAGAGAGATGACCTTGGTGTTAGTTCTTCAAGAAAGTCATCAGTCCTATGATGACCTCAATCTCAGACCCGAAGACCGTTTCCGAGAGGATGTACGAGACATCTGTGGCCTCTTTGTGACAATCATTGACTCGAGGATTTACCTACTTCACCAAACAGCGAAGGAATTCTTGGTTCAGAAGGATATGGTGAATTCTCCCAAAGACGTGCACAGCAATCTCAAATGGAAAAACTCACTAAGACCGCAAGAATCCCATCGTATTCTTGCTGAGATCTGCATCTGGCACCTACTCCTCGCAGAATTTGAAACGCATCCTCTTTACAGAAACGGACCACCATCCCAATACACTGAGGACCATGTCTTCCTTGACTACTCTGCTAAGCATTGGGCTGCTCACCTCCGCGAGTTGCAAATTGGGATACAAGATGCAATTACCCCATCAATATTGAGAATCTGTGATGTAAGTTCACAGCGTTGCCTGACTTGGTTCAGAATCTATTGGACAAGTACAAACACTGAGCTCCCCCAGGGGTTCACCACCCTTATGGTTGTATCCTATTTCGGACTGAGCACAGCAGTGAAGCATCTGCTTAAGATGGATGGCATCGACCTGGATTCTCGGGATGATACATACCAGCGATCAGCGCTATCATGGGCTGCAGGAAATGGCTTTGACACCGTGGTCAAGCTATTGATCAAACGCGCCTATACCGGGCTAAACTTCAACCTATTCCTCAACCTACTGTTAGGGAAGGGGGCCGAAGTCGACTCAGTCGATACATATGGTCGAACGCCATTATCATATGCTGTGTGGAATGGGAACATAGCTGCGGTCAAGCTGCTAATTAAGGCGGGGGCCCGGGCGGGCCTAAAGGATGAAATTGGAGGAACACCATTATCTTATGCCTTCTCTAGTGGACAAAAGGAGTTGATTAAGCTACTGGCCAAAGGAGATTCTCAAATTGATTTAGAGGACAATATTAGTAAGGAGCTATTGTTCCCCGCTGCGAAGAAGGGCCATGAGGCAGTTGTTAGGTTGCTGCTCGAGAGGAGTAGAGTCGACCCTGACACGAATGATAACTACGGTCGGACGCCGCTGTCGTGGGCCGCCGAGAATGGGCACGAGGCTATCGTTAAGCTATTGCTTGATACGGGTAGAGTTGATGTTAACTTGAAAGACACTCAACATGGTCGGACGCCCCTGTCGTGGGCCGCTGAGAACGGGCGCAAGACTGTCGTCAAGCTGCTGCTTGATACAGGGAGAGTCAATGCCAACTCAAAAGACACCAAATATGATCGGACTCCGCTTTCATGGGCCGCCGAGAACGGGCACGAGGTTATCGTTAAGCTTCTTCTTGACACAGGCAAAGTTGATGCCGACTCGAAAGACACTAAGCACGGTCGGACGCCTCTGTGGTGGGCCACTTTAAACAGGCACGAGGGCGTCATTAAGCTGCTCCTGGATTCACGTAAAGTTGATGCCGAAGCTAAGGATAAAAACGGTCTGACGCCGCTGTGGTGGGCCACCTTAAACGGGCGCAATGCTGTCGTTAAGCTGCTGCTTGATTCAGGCAAAGTTGATGCCGACTCCGAAGATACCAAAAATGGTCAGACACCGTTGTCGTGAGCCGCTGAGAATGGATATAGCGCTGTCGTCAAGCTACTGCTTGATATAGGCAGAGTGGATGTCGATTCAGAAAATACAGAATATGGTCAGACGCCTCTGTGGTGTACCACTTTGAATAGGCACGAGGCCGTCGTTAAGCTGCTCCTTGATTCACGTCAATTTGATGCCGAATCTAAGGAAAAGCTGTCGGACACCGCTATCCTGGGCTGCCGAGAACGGGCATGAGGCTATCGTCAAGCTGCTCCTTGATACAGGCAGAGTCAATGCCGACTCGACAGACACTAAACATGGTCGGACGCCGCTGTCATGGGCCGCTGAGAACGGGCGCAAGACTGTTGTTAAGCTGCTGCTTGAAACAGGTAAAGTCAATGCTGACTCAAAAGACATCAAATATGGTCGGACGCCTCTGTGGTGGGCTACCCTGAATGTGCATAACATTGTCGTTAAGCTACTGCTTGACACAGGTAGAGTTGATACTAATTTGAAAGATACAAAATATGGTCGGACGCCCTGTGGTGGGCAGTCTTGAATAGGTACGAGGCTGTCGTCAAGCCGCTGCTTAACACAGGCAAAGTAAATGCCGAGTCAAAAGATACAGAATATGGTCTGACGCCGTTGTTGTGGGCTGCTGAGAACGGGCATGAGGCTATTGTTAAGCTGCTCCTTGACATAGGCAGTGTCGATGCCGAGTTGAAAGATACAGAATATGGCCTAACACCGTTGTCGTGGGCCGCTGAGAACGGACATGAGGCTGTTGTCAAGCTGCTTCTTGACACAGGGAAAGTTGATGCCGACTCAAGAGACGCCAAACATGGCCGGACGCCGCTTTCGCGGGCCGCCGAGAACGGACACGAGGCTATCGTTAAACTGCTCCTTGATATAGACAGAGTCAATGCCGATGCTGAGGACAACAATGGTCGGACGCCACTCTCGTGGGCCGCCCTGTTCGGGCGCAAATCCGTCGTTAGACTATTGCACGATACAAGCAAAGTTCATGCCGACGCCAGGGACAAATACGGTCGAACGCCGCTGTCGTGGGCCGCCGAGAACGGGCACGAGGCAGTCGTTAAGCTTCTTCTTGACACAAGCAAAGTAGATGCCGACTCAAAAGACACCAAACATGGCCTGACGCCGTTGTCGTGGGCCGCCGAAAATGGGCACGAGGCTAGCGTCAAGCTCCTCCTTGACACAGGGAGTGTCGATACTGAGTCGAAAGACACCAAACATGGTCTGACGCCGTTGTCATGGGCCTCTGAGAACGGGCATGAGGCTATCGTCAACCTGCTCCTTGATAAAGGCAGAGTCGACGCCGAGTCGAAAGAAGCCAAACCTGGTCGGACGCCGCTGTCGTGGGCTGTCCTGTTCGGGGCCAAGTAGGTTTCGAAGATTATTTTATACAGCCTCTGGCCAGTTGCCCTCAGTCTGACAATCGGACTCTGGTACATAACTCTTCCTGGAGATGACCGCAACGCTATTGTGCAAACAGCGCAGACGATCTCTTCTTCGGTGATATCAACATGGCAGATCGGAAAGAGTGCAACGGCTCGCAAATGAAGAGGAATGAGGACGAGCTCCACGTGAACGTCGCGTCCGCGGCGGGATATCTTGCCAAGTTGGATATTCCCAAGATCCACACACAGTAGAACCACAACCAGCCCTCCGAAGCCAAACAGCTGGCTGAATATGTGTATTGGTGAGAAGACTAGCCTCTTTCGAGGAATTTGCCCACTGATTTTCACGGCCTTTTGGTCCGTAACGTACTTTTATTCAAGGAAGGGTCTAATGTAGGGTGTGGCTGTGCTTGATTTAATGGGGCGCCTCTGAGTGTTCGACCCATCAACATTCTAATTTGGGTTTACTCAGGGGATGAGGATGAGGTAGGAGGACACCAATCCTTTCGTTATGGGGTTAATTTGGCCCTTGGGTGTTGCTTGATATATGTTCCAGCCTCGATGACTTCGAAAAACGTGATGACTTAGGGAGCTTGAGTTACGGTTTTCTCGTGTGTTCTCAGGAGGTCAAAGGCGCACCAAACTCCAAGGCGGTGTTGTATACAAGTATCCTTCTCAATAGCCTGTAATGGAGACATATCCGTACGTCAAGCCTCAAATTGGAGCTACCTCGCGAAGTTCCGCGGTAATTGTTGTGAGAACTAGTTAAGGTTCAGGAGATAGATCTCTTTAGTTGATTCAGCAACTCGTCACCTAAACCACACCTTACCTTAACTAGAAGGCGCTGTGGCTAGTGATGTTGATTGGATGTGGCCACGCTAAAGAACAACTTGTATTGCCTCGCTCGGCCAAACAAGCCACCCAATCTTAAATTTCTACAACACGCACTCCAACTCTATTGACCTGGCATACGCTTGACCCATCTTAACTGCAAAGGTTACGAGAACGACGCGGCGCCACTCATCATACCAGAGGATATGCTCTACCGTCGGCTGACCTCGGTTCAAGGTAGAACTCTGTTTCACCTTCGGCTTGGTAAGTAGCGCATCTTCTTGTTTAGTAAACTTGTACTTTTCCCTTATTATTTACAGCTACTTAACAAGACTAGCTAGTGGAGTCGAGAGCTAAGAAGGGAGTAGAGCTAAGTTCTAAAATGTCCTTGTCATCTCGCCCCGAACAACTGCAAATTCAACGTCTTCAGAGATAGCGGCAGCGTAACCAATCAGAAGTAATACGATTCGACTCGGAGTTTTCAACCGCCCTACGACTCAGTTTGTTAGTACGATTATACGATTACTAGAGGAGCAGAGGGGACTACAAGTTGTAGTTAGTACAAACTAATTTGCTGCAACATACTTCACAGGTAAGTTACTTACACACCTAAGTTGCTTACTTTTGCTAAAACCTTACTAAACTACTTTTTTTACACTAATGCATTTCTAATAACACTACTTAAATATACTAAAAAAATGTTAGATATAGCTTACACTTTAAGCTTTTAAATAAAATATAAAACTTTTAAAAAAATATACTATAGCTATGTATAAAGTTTTTTAAAAAATAATAAATAACTATAGCACTAAATAACTTTTATAAGCTAATTTTATAGCTAACTTATAAAGGCTAAGTAATAATAAAAAAAGGTAATTATTAAGACTATACTTAAGCTATCTATATAAAAAATTTTCTTTTAAATAGCATTTATAGCTAATATAGCTAATTCTTTACACACTAAGTATAATCTAAGCTATATTAGCATAAACTAGCTTAGTGTCCGTACGCAGCAGCAGCGTCGCGGCCTGGATACAAGCGATCACGCACGAGCAGGATCACGTATCTATGTCACATGATGCTCGTGCGCGAACCTCTGTGCGCGAACATCTAGATATCCCCCTTTTCCTCTGTACAGAGGAAAAACAAGAAGTAATTAACACTAGTTACCTAACACCCCTATACAATGTTTACACTATGCAACTCTCTCTATCTTATACACATTTGCTAACACTAAGTGCTAGCTAGTAGAGAGTTTATTTAACACTAATTAGGAGTTTAAATACTATAAAAAAGAAAGCTCTTTTTATACTTTTTTATTTAAAAGTTTATATATAAAAAGAATTCTTTTCTTTACTACTTTAACTATAAATTAGTAAGAGTAAAAATAAAGTTTAATTTATATATAAGTAGCTATAAATCTCTATTTAGTTACTTAAGTAAAAGTAAAAAACTTGTTTATATAATACTATTTAAAAGTATTATATAAATAGTAGTGCTTATTTAACGCTAAAAGGTCTGTTTTATTTTTTTGCATAAGGCTGTTTAGAGGCAGTGTATAACAAGAAGTAAGACAGCGCGCAACAACATATAATTAACTACTATAGAGCAACAAGCAACACTAGCTCTATCTATAACTAGCTAACATAACATATTAACATATAACTAATATATACCTTTTATAGGCATCTTAGTAAAGACTCTAGTAAAGTAAATAAATATTAAAAATTAAGTAAATAAAATTAAACTATTAAATAACACACTTAAAAAAAAGCTTAATTTATACATAGCTAACTTAATTATAAAACTCTGCGTGTTAAGCATAATAGATGTATATATGCTTAAAAACTTTTAAAATAACTTTATAAAGTAAAAGCTTATACACTTTAAAAATTTTAGCTAACTATTTTTATAAAAACTAATTACTACCTTATAGAATAAGAGCATTAGCTTTAAAAAAGACATAATAAAGGCTACTACACTATATAGACTTATAAAAAAAGAACACATGTTTACTATCTTACTAAAACATTATATAAAACTATTACTACTATTACTAGTCTTAATATAATAGAGAATGTTTTTATATAAATTACTTATAGACCTAATACTTCTTTTATAATTAGTATAACTACCTTGTAATAGCTTACTGTACAAGAGCATAACTAGGCAGCTACATATTCCTATAGCTACAGCTCTGCATGTGATTCTCTAAAGCTTGTACCTACTATATATAATTTAATTACTGTATAATCTATACTAACTTCTACCTACATAAGATATTACAGTAGAGAACTTTACACCTAAAAAGGTTATATAATTCTAAAAGGCATAGAAAAAGAAAAATAACTATATAAAGTAACTATATAATATTCTAGCTAATAAGGCTATAGTATTTATTAAGCTTTACTAACACTTTACTATCTTTAAAGCATTATATACAAGCATCTTTTTTAATATTTTTAAAGAGCGTGCACACATGTTCTACCTTTATAATATTAGTCTAGAATAATTATAGAAGTTACTATATAAGTAGCTTAGTAATTACTTTAATACTAACATAAACTATAACTAGTATTAAATAAATTAGATAATAATAAGCTTTATATAAAGTAAGTAAAAAAACTTTATAAAAACTTTATATAAAGCTTTTAAAGCTATAATTAATAAATTTACTTTTATATAAAAAGCTTTTAGTCTATAATTTTAAAGCAAAATACTGCTTTACACTGCTATTATATAAGTATGCTAAGGGTAACTTAAACTTAAATAAGTAATGTTCTTAATTAAGCTTATATATAAAGCACTATACAGTAACCTCTATTTAGCACTTTAAGTTATAATTAATTAATAAAATAATACATTTATAAATAAATCCTAAAACATATACTATACTAATAGGCAATATAGCTTACTATGTACACATAGCTATTAATAACATAGAAGAAGCTTAAGAGAATATAAAAGATTATTTAGACTATAGTTCTCTACATAATTAAAGTAATACTTTATTTATTATAAAAAAAAATGTTAGTTAATAAATTATTTTTATATAAATTAATTCTATGTAAAACACTAATATATTTTTTTATATAAAAGATTTTATAATAAGACACTAACATATAAAAAGGTAAATATATACATTTAAAAGTTTAAAAGCAAACTAAAGTAAAAAAAAAAAAGTTATATAATAATAATAACTTAGATAAAAAGAAAAGTAAAAAAATTATTAACTACCTTACTAATGCTATATTTCTTTACTATATAACTGCAGAGAACATCTATAGCCTAGAACCTAAAAAATACATAGAATAGTTTATTCTTAAAGATTAATACTATATAGTATACTAAGGTAAACTATAGAATACTAGCATAGTAAGAATCTCTACTATAAAGAAGTTATAATTTAAAGCATACTTATAAGAATTCCCTTATATAAAAGTAGACTAGACACTAAGAAAGAAAAGTATTAGCTTTAAAAAATAAAAATTAATAAAATTAATTAGTACTATATAAATTACTAACCTAGTTAGTAACATAACATATTACATTTTAGAGACTCTAACACTGTTCCTACTATCTCTAGTAGACATAGACTAAATAAGTGTGTACTTTAATAATATTTTAAATATTATTATATGTAAAGACAAAACTACTATTTTTATTATATAAAAATAAAAACACTTTTTTTTTAATATTAGTAAAGAAGAATTTATGTTTTTCTTTACTAAATTAAAACTTTACTACCTCTACTACTAATTTAGACACTCTTGTATAAAGAGACTCTAGAAGATGCTAACTAGCGCTAGCTACAACATTAATGCTGTAGTACTAGAAGAGATTAAGAAGTTCTACTACTTCTACTAATTATATAACTAGGCTTTATAAAGATTTAAGTTTATAATTAAAAATAACACTTACTTTAACTATAAAGTTATTATTAATGTTATATAAATTAATAATAAAGATGTCTTATATATTATTAATATAGACATATTATTTTAGGCTGCTACATTCCTAAAATCTATGTCTACACAAGATACCTAGGATGTACTATATAAATGCTAGATTAACACTTATTAAAGACTTTTAGACTATATTATGCATAACTTTAGTATAAACTTTGCTTTAAAAGATTTTTAAGCCTATGCAAAAATTATAGAAGCTATATGTAAGCAGATGCCTATAAAAGCACATTAAGCAGTTAGAAAAGTTAAGCATGTACACACACCTTTTTAATAAGTGTTTAACATCCTAAAGACTAAGCTAGGTAACTGTATAGATAATAAGGCTATTCTGTAGATAGCAGTTAAGGCTCTAAATAACATAGCTAGCTTATATAGTCTAGTACTTACACTGCTAGTTTTTAGAGCATACTTAAGAATTAACTTAGACTCTCTACTATTACTAGACATTATTACATAAGTAAGCACTATATAAAAAGTAATAAAGATACTTTAAAAAAACTATATAAAAGTAAACATTAATTATATAATTAATACTTATAATAGCTTTATAATATATAAAGTTCTTAACTTCTCTCTTAGCTTAAAGATTATAGCATAAAAAGAAAAAAAAAGCTAGACTAGCCTATATAAGATTAAAAGTATTAAAGAAAGAGATGTTATTATTAAAAAAAAATAGCTTACTAAAGCTTTAATATATATAAGTTAAACTATACTATAAAAAAAAATAACTTACTTATAATAAATAACCTAGATAAACTAATCCCTATATAAAAAGATCCTCTAAAGAAAAAAAAAAAAAGATAGCTTTATAAAAATATTATAAAAGTAAAACTAAAGCCTACTACAAACTAAGCCCCTTAGAATAGTAATGCTGCACTAGTGTAAAAGAAAGATATAGATACTAGAAGAAGTAAAAAGTAAAAAAAACCTATATAAAGTCTAGACTAGGTATTTCTAACCTAAAAAAAAAAATAATTAGGCTTTATTTATTAAGCTTTATATAGATAGTGTAATTACTATACTTAGAAAACTATTTAAAAAATTAGACTATATAAAAATAAACACTCTAATTACTAATAGCACTTTTAAGGTTATAGCATATAACTTAATAAAGTATAAAAGTTAGATTTTTAACCTTTACTTTATATAAAAAGTAAAAGGCAAAATAACTTAACTATATAAGAAATTCTGCTTAGTGTTTACTAGCTACTTAAATAAAAAAAAAAGAAATCTTTACCTAGTTACTAACTATTTAAAAAATAAGCTAAAGACTACTTTTAGCTATAAAAGTAAGTCTAAAAGCTATATACAAAATGCATTTTAAACTATGTAATATTATATAAGTATACATTTAATTAATAAATAAGCTTATGCGCATGCTGTACACAAAGCTACTAAAGAAGATGCGCTAGAGCTTTCTACTAAATATAATACTCTAGATTATATAACTTTTATATAAAGCTACTAAATTAGAACTGTATTAGTTTAAGACATATTATAACTACTATAAAAAAAAGCTACGCATGTATATTTTTTTATACAACTCTTACCTTTTAATTACTAATAAAGAAGAGCACACTTTTAGTATTACTAGCTTATAAATAGACAACACTTT